CAAGCTTCTCAACTCCACGCAGTCCATCAGCGCTAATGTTGTCCAGGCCCTGTAGTGCTTTTTTCTGTTGAGCGGGACAGTACTTTAAAACCCTGTACAGCTCTCTTTCACTTAAATGGCTGAATGCGATTTCCTTGCAATATGATACGTATTGCTTGATTATCCTCGCTGCAACCATATTGCATACAACATTAGGCATACTGATTGTCTCTCCCAAAAAGTCATTCAGCTTCTTAAGAGACTCGTCTTCTTCTTTGCACTGAGCCTGATCACGATGAAGTGCAAAGGGTTAAAGCGGGAAAAACGTGGCTTTTCCCTCTCCTGCTCCAGAGTCCTCGCCGGCTTGCTTGTTTGACTTTGCTTACAGACTATCTTTTGGTCCAAACGGCGCTTGACATCATATGTTTGAGTGTCTCCTTTTTACGACAAAATCGGAAAGTATAATCGAAAAACATCCAATTATGACATTTCTACATCAGCAAGAATAAATTAATTTTACCTGAACCCACCGGCACTAAATTTTTCAGCTCATGAAATATGATTTTGGTCTGTAGTTAATACTACGATCTGGCTTGGCTTTGCCAGTGTGGTCTGGGTAGCGACAGACTCTTTTCTGGAACCTCCACCGAGCTGATATCGGTGCTTTGGACACACTGTTGTTCTTGATATATACTCCTCATCATACTCAAATACACCTGCCCTTGTCAGTATTAGGTCATATTCTGTGCTGATATCAGTCACACTTGTCGTATGCAAGTGTTTACTCACATCCTTCTCGCAAAGTGAAATAGGAATTGCCTCTTGCGTTATGCTTAATTTCGACGAGTAGTGCCACACTCACTTCCAATCAAGGTACCGATAGAGCAGCTCATCGAATTTCCGTGTGGGTAGCTAGTCGCGACATTCTCTAATTGAATGTAACATAAAGAATAACATGACTTAACCAGTGAAAAGCTTGCTACTTTGAAAAAGCAAAACCTTTGTACCGCATTTCAGCAACAGGAAAGTTTTGAGCATGCGATTCAATGAAAGCAAATACTATTAAACAACGCTGTTCTCTGATGTTTACTTTTCAGTTGAATACGAAAATAGTTGCGTTTGCATTGGCCTGTCCATTGAATATTTCGTACAAATTCGACCACGAGCGAATAAAGTTTGAAGTATTCATATTTGTATGTGTTATACGCTGGTTATTATCCTTTTCCATCATTTAGTTTGAGCTCAGTGGTAAGTAATAAAACCTGATTTGTGTAGTTTACAGGGACAAATATCGAAGCCAGATATTTCATTTCCCACGAACCGAAAGCGAAACGCACTGACCCATTGTGACTGGAAAAAACACCTGAAAAAAATATATCGAACTCACCNAACCAGTGAAAAGCTTGCTACTTTGAAAAAGCAAAACCTTTGTACTGCATTTCAGCAACAGGAAAGTTTTAAGCATGCAATTCAATGAAAGCAAATAATATTAAACAATGCTGTTCTTTGATGTTTACTTTTCAGTTGAACACGAAAATAGTTGCGTTTGCATTGGCCTGTCCATTGAGTATTTCATACAAATTCAACCAAGAGCGAATAAAGTTTGAAGTATTCATATTTGTATGTATTGTACGCTGGCTATTATCCTACCCATTGTTTTGTTTGAGCTCAGTGGTGAGTAATAAGACCTGTTTTGTGCGTAGTTTACAGCGACAAATATCGAAACCAGATATTTCATTTCCCACGAACCGAAAGAGAAATGCACTGACCCATTGTAACTGGAAAAAACACCTGAAAAAAATATATCGAACTCACCTTGTAGCCATGAATAAGAGATCCAAAAGTAGCAACAAAAGGACAAAACAAATTTACCAAAGTTTATCACAAATATGAAATGAACATGTTCGCCTGTAATCCGATCCAGCAGAAATAAATTCACTTTAATTTACCTTCATATTCACTAAAAATGATTGGCAGCTTGTGCTACATTTTATGGCAGTATTGCAACAAATTAATTTTGAAATGGAAGTATAAATGTAGTTTTAAGATGACAATAACAAGCCATACTTTTGTAGAGCTTGCTTCTCGGAATGCAAACATGCATAAATTAAAGCTCAAGTCAGCTCGGTGTTTGCATTAAGTTTTGTGATGGAAGACAGATTAAAATCAGAAATCCCAAACAGATTTTTCATTTTATCTTCAGAGGGATGTTATCTAAAGATCAATAACAAATCAGCCTGAATAATTGGTTGGACCCACAGCATTTTGCAATTTTTTTCTAACGCAATTTTTAAGCGACTGTTTTGGCTAGTTTAGAGTTTACGAGATTTAAACTCCATTTATTAAACAACTATCATAAGAAAACAACTTTTGACCTGAAACTCACAAAATAATACATATTTGAATGGCACTGGCAAAAATCAGCGCTGTTCAACTGCCCAAACTCGCGATTTCCTTTTTCATACTTTGCCAGCTGAAGTCGGACATTTTGACTCTGGGATATTAGTGACGTCATTTGGTGTGAACTTCCAAGCGTCATTTCTTCCCAAATAAAACCCCCATGACCTCCATATTGCAGGTGCTGCTGTTTCTATAGAACCTCAACCTGCAAAATGTTTTTGAAGAAAATTGGAAAAAAAATATTTTTGCTATCCGCTGCAAAAAGGCTTTTTTTCTCGATTTTTACAGTCAAGCTCTCTTAAACATTTAGAACTTTTGCGGTAAACTTTCAAAACATTTGGTAAGTTTTGGTAAATACATTGGCAATATATTTAACTTTAATAAACAGTGAAAACGACAACCTTACTGGTAACTTTTAAGTACTTTACTTAACTTTTGCAAATTTCTCTCGTTTGACCGCAGTTAATCAGCCTGTAGAACTACAGATTTGTTGCCCAGGGGCAGGGGCGCGGGGTGGGGGGTTCAGTTCCCATACTGAACTGAC